TCAGAGCCATTCTCAACCTAAAGCAGTTCAACAAGTGGATGAAGAAAACTAAGTTTCAGATGGAGATCCTGACCTCTACAGAGTCATCGCTATCCCAGGGGGACTTCTTGACTTCAATAGATCTAGTGGATGCATATCTCTATATCCACGTCTGAAGTTCGCTTACAGCAGGAAACATTATCAGTACTGAACACTTCCATTTGGCCCTGTCCTTGGCCCCCAGAGTTTTTACAAAGATATTGGTAATGATAAATAGCCACACTCAGGTTGCAGGGAACTCAGCTGTACCCTTTCTTGGATGACATTCTGATCGGAGTTCCATCGTGATCACCTGTGCACAGGGCCGTGTCTCGGACATTGTGACATCTGCTGTTGGTCTCAAAAAATAAGATGAGACCAGGCAGCAGTAATTCCTCATTGGCCAACACCTTGGTTCTCAGACCTGATAGACCTAAAACCAGAACCTCCACTCCAGCTCCCATTGAGACCAGACATCCTCTTTTTCAACTAAAAGCTTCAGTTCATAGCCTGGCTGTTGAGAGGGAAGTGTTAGAAGGTCTCATTCTGTCCTTCAGAGTCATCAAGACATTGCTTTAGGAGGAAATTGATACTAAAAGCATACTTCTCTAATTACTCCAGGTTCTACAACTGGTATCGAGCACAATGCAAATCCCAGAGATCTATGGAGGGCTGTGACAAGCTTTGACTTCAATGTCAGCTGCTTTTATCCATTAAGACTTGTTTCTTAGTAGCTGTCTTGCCCACCAGGTAAGTGTCAGAGGCTTATCTATACAAGAGCCTTACTTCATGTTCCATGAGGACAAGGTGATGCTCAGGACACTAGAAGATTGGGCTCCCAATTCATGTCCTTCCATGGACATAGTTTCCAAATCCTCCATTGCTTTGTGGATTAGACTATGTATCATGGAAGCCTACAGATCATCAGAGGTTCCTGTCTCAGAAATGATCAAGGCACGCTATATGAGATCTTTAACAGTTTCATGGGTGGAACGAGCAAGTGTGTCCACTTCAGAAACTTGCAAAGTAGCCACTTGATCTACATTTAATACCTTCATTAATCGCTGTAAGATGGATCTATCTTCTGCAGAGATCTCCTTTGGCAGGAAGGTGCTGCAGGTGGTAGCCCAGAAATAATATTGACCTTTGACCGAGCTCATGAAAAGAGGAGTGCTTCTTATTTATTGAATTCTGTTTTCACAACACTCTCTGTCTGATCACTTCTCACTACTTCCGGAAATCCAGAATTGTGGGAGATGCTGGGCTGCAGAATGGAAATTACTTACCAATAATTTCCTGTCTGAAAATAGTATCTACCACAATTCTGTTCACCCTAGATGACTCATGAGCCAAGAGTCAAATATTAAGTGGAATTGTTATGATAGGACTGTTTTTCCTTGGTCTAATGTACATAGTTGTTACATTGTCTCTGGAATATTTTGTTAGTGAAATTATGCAAATGTTACAGCTTTGGAATAACTCATCTGGTAGTAAGCAGGAGAAGAGGGGATATGGCCAGAGTATGCAGAGCCAAAATTCTGATCTGCCTCTGTGAAGCTATGGTGAGAGGAGAGCAGCCCAGATATCCAGAATTAAGAGAATTACTGCTGGCAGAAAGAAAATTCTGTAAGAAATTTTCCATTCATTTGTGCGGAAGAGAACAAGCTACAAAGTATCACAAAACAAAAACAAATCAACTGAAAAGCACTGAGCATTAATTCCAATAGGTTTTCCCCGCTTTAGCCAGCTGAGAAGGGAGAGGACATATCCTTCCCCTTAGATTTCCTTTGGTGCAAATTCCCCTTACTTCTATACTTTGCCCTGACCAAACATGACAGGCAGGGACCTGTGAACCTTTTATAGACTGCATCAACTTTACCTTGTCATAAATTGCCATGGTTTGTTGGAATGTTCAGTTAGTGCATGTGTATAGCACATATCTCTTGTGTGTGTTTCTCTAGTATTGCATTGAATAGGATGCCTTTTTTTGCAGCGAGTTAAAATAGTGATGGAGATTAAATTAGTTTAGGTATTATTTTAAGCTGGAGGACATGTACCATAAGCTTTCCTCACAAAGTGGAATTGTTTTTCTCTTTTCAAAAGCAACTATGCATAAACAGATTTATATATGCTTCTTAGCAAAATTTAAATTTGAAAAAGGCATACTCTCATAAACTGTGATTATACTGTTACACTAATAAAAAATGTCTTTGATAGCTAGCCCATATCTTTGTTCACCTGCCACCAATTTAGACTCTGCTTTGATACTTTCTCAATAGTGCATTTAGCTTCCTTTTCTTAGCTTCCACTTCTAGAACTAGAGAAATTGCTTTACCATTCTTTTTTTGTCTTTTTCTCTTGTATCACAGCACAATCATGGTGCTTTATTACCCTTTTTATAAGCTATACATACCAATAATTTGAGAAAATCTACTCCCATTTTCTTTTTGAGGGGATTAAAATATACATATTTTGGGCATAAATTGGTCTTAAACTGTGCTTATGGATGCTGCTAAATTCCATGATCTGCTGTCAAAATTTTAACAAGGTGCCCTCAAAATTTCTGCCTCCATCGGAGATGATACATGAGAAGTTGCTTCCACTCCAGTTCACCCAAATTCCATCAGTTCCATATTCTACTCCTCACCCCACTCTGATTAATTACTATCCACCCATGTACTCTTGTGTTGGCTCCCACATGCCTTCCTTACCTGTCCAGCTATTCCTCATAGCAGCAAAAATAGTGGTAGGTGTGTTGCCCTGTCATCTCTGATCGTGGAATGATCAGGCCAGAGGCTTTCTGGTGATGGGCTCAGTAGATGGTTGGGACAGAATCCCTTTTTAATATTTTATGTGAGAAAGTCTCCCTTTATTGCTAGTAGTCCAGTGTGGGAGGAGCAGGCATCAATCTCCCCTAGCTTGTATGAGGAATGGAGGGAGCCAGAAGAACAGCTCTTCTGTGGCTGGTAAGGAGACTTGGGCCTGATCTACACTGGGGAGGATCGATCTAAGTTATGCAACTTCAGCTACGTGAATAACGCAACTAGACTAGATGCGATAAATCGACCCCTGCTGGATCGATCACTGCCCATCAATCCAGCAGATAATATAGACAAGCCCTTAGTGGGAAGGGGATAGGTATTGGAGATTTGGGGAATAGGACTTCAGAGGCCTGATGCTCCTTTCATTTATTGTCCCTCCTTTCATTGACTTCACTCTTGATTACCCTAGTGTGAGAGAGCAGAATCAGGTTCCTTCACATTAAGAACTCTTCATACTAAGGTTGGGGCCAGGCAAGCACTATCAGGGAGGAAGTTGGACTGTAGCAGCCCAGTTGTTTATTTCTTGTAAACCAATTGCTAGGGTTTGAAAATTTTTATCTTTTTATGCTATTGTCACAAGAAAAAGGTCTGGAAATTTAGCTTTCATTTTCAAACAGAAAAATTGAGATTCTTCCTCATTGTCCTCTTTCAATAAAGTGCTCTTTCCCATCCCTATGAGTCTCTCTCTAGTTTCAGTGACTAAGCTCCATCCATACCAATAATGATGATGATTCCATAGTAATGGAAAGGTGAAGTGAAACTTAATCAACCCCAAAATGCAGAAAACAAAGACAAAAATATGACACACCAAAATTGTGGTGTGAGGTACTACAGATTTTATTGACCATTTATTTGCGAAAACACGTGCCAGTAATCTACCTGTTAACGTGACAGTAACATATTGCCAAATTAGTGCCAATACCACAATGAATTTTTGTTCATAGAAGTGCTTCTTACCAAAAATAAGAAATTCATAATCTGATTTGCCTAAAAATAGCAAAGAGACAAGGTGGGAGAGGTAATATCTTTTACTGGACCAAGTTCTGTTTTGAGATTTTGAGCCACACACAGCTCTTCAAATCTGGGAAAGGTACTCCGAGCATCACTGCTAAATGCAAGGTGGAACAGATTTTGTTTGACCTGAAACTAAACACTTAGATTAGATTTGGAGGTTTTTTATATGTCTTTAATAAAGTTGATAGACATTTCAAAATGAAAGGGAGTTTTGAATCAAAATATTTTGAAAATGTCAATGAAATGTTTTGATTTTTTTTTTCTGACCAAGACAATTTCATGAAATGTTGTGGTCAACCCAGATATGCATTTTTCTTTAATAATAATAAAAAAATTTGGCCTAAAAATTTCTTTACTCAGTATCTATCTCCCCATGTAAGTATTCTCACACTTCTTATCAAACTGTCAGTACTGGGCTATCTTGATTATCACTTCAAAAGTTTTTTCTCTTACTTAATTGGCCTCTCAGAGTTGGTAAGACAACTCCCTGTATTGTATATATATATTTTCATGCTCTCTGTATGTGTATATATATCTCCTCAATATATGTTCCATTCTGTGCATCCGAAGAAGTGGGCTGTAGCCCACGAAAACTTATGCTCAAATAAATTTGTTAGTCTCTAAGGTGCCACAAGTACTCCTGTTCTTTTTACTCAGTATGTTGCAGTTAGGTGTGATGTTCAGGTAAAGTATAAAATAAATTGCTGTTCTCTGACTCAGCAATAGCTACTGCTGTGTAGGCTCAACAGAATGGCTGAAAGGACAGAGAGAGAGAGGTTTAATTCAGAATTCCTTGGCTTTTTTGAATTTAGCTAAAGTCATTTTTCATCACAGTAATATAGTTTTAATGTATTACATTTATTAAATTTACTTCTTCTGTTTAGAGAAGAAAAATTGGTAGTCAGCCTCCTTCCTGCCTACAATTTGTCACAAGTGTACTGTTCTCATATTTATAATCTCATGCAATTCAAGCTCTTTTAAAGAAAAAACAACAAATTGGATTTGCAGAGAAGCAAATACAGACCTTGGGTAACCAACCATACTCTTGGACTAATGCAATACAGTAGCTGAGAGCTTTTCTATGTTTAATTATTCCTTGTAAATATAAATGACTGATGCATATTTTAAACCCTTATTTGCATATAGGCTGAACAACTTCGACAACATTATATGAGTAAATCCAATGCAGAAGTTTCAGAAGCTCATCAGGCCTTGCAGCCAGTGCTACAGACCATTCGTGAGCTCCAGAGAAAGGCAGGTGCCTCTCTTTGGCTTATGATTTTTGATTTACTAATTACTTTTTAACCTGTGTGTCCTAGATTCCAAGTATTATTTAATATTCATAAAGTGTAGCACCTCAAAGCCCCGATCAGAATGGAACCCCATTGTGCTGAGCACAAGACAAATACATAACAAAAAGATGGTTCCTGCCTCCAAAGAGCTTACATTTTTATTATTTGATGAGCTACAACAAATGGACGCAACAAGCAGATAGGAGGAACACAAGGTAACTGAGAAAATTATAATAAAGCAACTGCTTTATGCCTTTTCCATTGCATCATATTACACACGTACACACTTGCCTCTTGAAATTTAGACTAAGAATCAAGCTATAAGAATAATACCATACTGGCCTGGAAGATACTACATTTCTATATTTAAAAAACTCAGCATCAGGTGAGGTCTCCATTCCTTCCCAAGGAACTGTTCTTCCAGGCCAGTATATCTCAACAGCAGTAATTCACTCTGACAACCTAGCTGATGAGGAAAGGTGTAAAAGAAAAATATACTGATGAAGGCTTGAGCTGAAATGCTGATTCGGCTATACTGTATTACAATAAATAAAGACATGAGCAAATATACTTTCCCGTTCCATCTACATCCACTGTCTTTTACATTTTGAAACTTACTTCAGTCTTTTCCATTTTTTCATTGGAAAAACAGCCTTGTTTATGTCATTAAAAAGTCTTTTATTCCTCTCCCCTTTCTTTTCCTCCTAGCAGTCTGTGTTAAAGGAGAAAAAGGAAGTTATTCAGAATGGAAGGAAACTTCCAAACTACTCCACTTATGCACATGCTATAAGATCTTATTTTTTTTCTCTTGCATAGATAGCCTTCCTGTGCCTAATATGTAAGCGATTTAACAATATTGACGTAATTGAAATTTACAAGGAGGTACCCACTAGTTATTCTGGATATATTTGAGGGCAAAGGTGGGCTTTTCCAACTGTATCTTTATCTCTTGGCTACTTCCAGTAGAATTTACCAGTCCCGGCAGAATATGATCCAGAGAGCAAAAAAGGCTCCTACCACAGCATGCAAAGCATTTACCTGTTGTGAGTGTTCATGAATAAATCTCTCTTGCATACAGATACATTCTGGGTCGCCTTGGTGGTTGGACGTGATCCAGACAGCAATACAATATGCCGTTGATGAGGAGCTTGTTCAGCGTGTGCAAAATGAGATAACCAGTAACTACAAACAGCAAACTAATAAACTCTCCATGGCAGACAAGTAAGAGAATAAATACAAAATAGCATAATTAATACACTTAACTCTGCTCAAGTCGTCTAATCAATTTGTGCTAGCAGATGCAATTAAGTGCCAGGCACTTGTGCTTCAGAACATCTGCACTGCAATTAAGTTTAAAAACACACTTCTAAAAGGAGAAACTAAATATAAAACTTCAAAAGAGAGAGGCCTTCGGTTTTCCCCCAGACAAGTATTCATTAAAATGTTCTCCTTTGTATAATCTAGGATGTTTTTTTTTAATTTTCTGTGTTCATGCAACTGCTGAGCAAAATAATTCAATGTTAATTGCATTGGGATTTAATGTTCTCTAAAACAAACTGACTTGCAAGTGAATCCCTAGAGGAACAAAATAAATTGCATCAGTTTTGGACTCCTATTGGGGTCTATCCATTTCCCGCTTTGCAGCTTCCCATTCTTGATACCATTTTCTGGCCAACAAGTTCTGGATGGGTTTCCCATTGGAGACCATCAGTACTGCTTCTTCTATTGGAATTGTCACCAGTTACTTCCTCCCCACGAACATCACTCTTTTCACAAATACCATCAGTCCCAAGTTCAAGAGTGCTGCCTGTGCAGTACTCCCAGCTCATGGAGCAATAAATTACAGATTCATATGTTTGTCCTGTAAAGTGGTCTATAGATGAGTGACTAGCATTTACTGTACTTATTAACAGTCTGGCTTCAGATACAGGAACATGAAGTGTAAGCAGTTGGCAAAACTGAGTATTTGCCTGTTTAAAAAAAAATACTGAAATGTGAATTGCTTATAGGAAAATTTCTATTTATGTACTCTACATTGCTATAAACAAACAGTTCTTTACACACAAGTGAAACAGTACCCTTACTCTGAATTGTTTAGTAATAAGACTTGATCCTGCAAGATGCTGAGTACTGATACAGCAGAGCACTTAATCACATGCTTAACTTTTAATTACACCAAAGTATTGTAAAAAAAATAAGGAATTTTTACTTTTTATAGCTTTTCTTTTTCCGTACTCAGAGTTGTGTTGAGAAGGAAAACAAATAAATTCCACCCATCACGCATGAAACATCCATCTTATTGAGAGCTATCATTTGAGGCCAAGGGTTTCTCGTTATGCCGCTGTTCAACATAGCTGGGAGAAGAGAATTGGTTACAGATGTGTGTGTGGTTGCCATTAGAGCGTGCCAAAAAAGGATGATTCCCTTTCAACAAAAAAAATTGTGTGTTTGAGAAAAAGTTTCATTCAGAAGCAGGACAAAACATCAAAAACACAGAAAGGATTTTCCCAAAACAGAATTTTTCTTGAACCTAAAGATTTTTTTCAGCTTCCTGGCTTCCCCACTGGGAAGTTTTTCAACAATTTCTGTGTCTCAATTTCCTCATTTGTAAAATGGGGGATAATGATACTTGGTACTCCTTTGCAAATCTTAAAGTACTTTACAATAAAAATACTCCAGAAGAGCTAAAATATTTTTTTATTATTAAAAATGCAATTATGGAAGCAGCAAGTGCTATCTAATAGCTGAGTAGTGGAGTTGGCTGACCCCAAGATGCAAACTGGGATTTCTCTCTCACGTTTGGAACTCTTGGCAGCTCAGATTATATTATTAACTCAAACTTAAATGCTACCCATGTATTTCCAAAATGCCCTGTTGGTAATGAGTTAGCTCTCCCATATGTGGGTTTTATTTAGTTGCAGAATTCCAGATTAGCCCTAAGTATTGCTTAATTAGATCCTTTAAACAGCTACCCATTTTCTAACTTTGCTCAGCTTTACACAGATGAACTTATCCTTCTCTAACTTGGCTAATTGTACTTTTGGAATGTTTTGGATCAGATTTTCCCTAAGAGAGAGAAATCTATTTAGGAAAAAATATATACTGTAGAACCTCAGAGTTATGAACACCAGAGTTACGAACTGACTTGTCAACCACACACTTCATTTGGAACTGGAAATATGCACTCAGGCAGCAGAGACCCCCAAAAAAGGCAGATACTGTGCAGCACAGTATTGTGTTAAATGTAAACTACTAAATTAAGATGGGGAAAGTTTAAATAAAAAAGATTTGACAAGGTAAGGAAACTGTTTCTGTGCTTGTTTCAGTTAAATTAAGATGGTTAAAAGCAGCATTTTTCTTCTTCATAGTAAAGTTTCAAAGCTGTATTAAGTCAATGTTCAGTTGTAAACTTTTGAAAGAGCAACCATAACATTTGAGTTATGAACATTTCAGAGTTATGAACAACCTCCAATTGCAACATGAGCAGCAACAGTTCACTTCCCTCATATTGCACTGGCAGCAGACTGTGCACCTGATCAAGAGAAATACCTAGGATTGAATAGGTGGTTCATCTTCATGCCTGTTCAGTATTTTATCTCTGAGAATTAGAGTAACAAATGCTTTGTGTGTGTTGGTTTTATGTATGTGTGTCCACTGTGAACTGGACTGAGACCACCAAAATCATTACTCCCTGGCCACCAAACACAAATCAGGTGGTAAATATTTCAAGCACTACTGACCGTGACCAGATTTGAGACAGTGACCAAGATGGTATGCGTTGTTTCCCCATTTCTAAAATCTGAGCCATATTATGTCACTGACTTCAATGGGGACTATTCATGATAGTGAGCATTACACTTCAGGATTGGGCCTTAAGTAGTTTCACTGCATACTGCAATTTATTTGTTTCTCTTCTTTGTGAAAATCTTGAATTGGGTTTTGATTTGGTGTACTATTATGTGGTTTTTGTTGTTGGGTAGGTTCCGTGACTGTAGAGGCCTTCAGTATCTGCTCACAACCCAAATGGAGGAGGTGAAGAAGTTCCAGAAGCTTGTAAAAGAAGCTGTGAAAAATCTAGAAGGTCCTCCCTCTAAGAAGGTTATTGAAGCTGCCACTATCTGCCATCTGCGACCTGTTAGACTTCCTTTGAACAAGTATGTCAGAAACATTGTTTTTGTAGGAGGCTTAGTGAGAAGTCCATGTTCTTTTGGAATAAGATAGGGTTACCATACGTCCGGATTTTCCCGGACATGTCTGGCTTTTGGGGGCTCAAATCCCCGTCCGGGGGGAAATCCCCAAAAGCCGGGCATGTCCAGGAAAATCGGGAGGGAGTATTGTAAAATTGGGGCCTCTTTGGCCGGGGCCGGGGCGCGGGGC